GTTTGTTGATGGTTGGCTTCTTGGTTTAGGTGTTTGTGGTTGTTGGGTCTGTTTTCATAGGGTTTGAGGGGTCATTTGGTTGCTGTTTTGTGTTTGGTTCGAGCTGCTGGTTGCAGCAGTGTTGTTTCATGATGATTCTCGCCGGAGATGGCGGATTTGATGGGTTTGGGGTCGGGTATTTGGTTGGTTTAGCGAGCTCGAAGCTCGTTCGCTTCATGGGTTGTGCTCCGGTGTGGAGGAAGAAGGAGAACAGCTGGGTTGGAGGTGTTTGGAGTTGGGAGCTGCTGGTTGTTTGAGGTTGAAGCTGGCTCGCTGGTGGTGGCGTGAGCGGAGCGGAGAAGAAGAAAATGAATGGAGGTTTTGGGTGGTTTCAAGTGGTGTTTGCTGGCCGGAAAAGGGAGGTTTTTACTGTTGTGGGACTCGAAAATTACTCCTAACTCGCGCAAAATACGTGCACATCACGCGTTTTGCCAAGTAGGATTCGCGTGTTTATTTATTAAAAGATTGGATAGTTAAAGTGTCTGTTTGTGCACTATGAAAGTTGGAGGTCAAAGTTAAAATTTGAAGCCAAGTTTAGGGTCCAATATATGTATTATGCCTTTTTAAAAAGAAGATATATAACTCCTTAATTTTGTAAATTAATATACATTATTATTTACAAACAAATAAGTAAGAAAACAAATTAAGGGTAAATATGTAATTTTTATTAATTTAATCCATGTATAACTAATACCCTCATAACTTATTTCACCCTCTACCCCTGCATAAAATTATACATAGATTTCTTCATAAGTTATGTAAGTATTAGCTATGTGGCATTACAAAAATACAACCAAACACCACATAAAATCAATACATGTATAACTTTTATACAACATTGGAGACACACCAACCAAACATTGTTAAAATTTATACATGAATAATTTTGATTCTATTTACAAACCAAACGTGGTACAAAATTAATACATGAATAACAAAGTTATTCATGTATTAACGTTGCCCTTATCCAGTAACCAAACGGCCCCTTATTGTTAAAAATATTGTTAGATAATGATGAAAAAGACTCTCTTTTTTTTCTTATTTGATCTTAATGTTTAATTTAATGATCGTAATTTTACGTTGTACTCTAGTTTTCTTTTAGGTTTATTCTTTAAATTGTTTGATGTATGACATTATGTAACGATGGAAATTAATACAGTATATTCAATGTTGTATTCATTAAAATAATACAATATGATACAATGGTGGAATAATGTGTAACAACCATCCAAGCAGAGTGTAACTAATGGTCAAAAACATATTTAAGTTACTCTCTTTGACCAACAATTGTTGTTTACTATTAAATTTGCACACTTGTTAAAAATATATAAATAGAAATAGAATGGTAATTTTACTATAGCACCCTTTGAATATAATAAACAATGTCTTAAAAATATAATAGGAAAATGACTATAATTAATGATAAGTGTAAAAGTATCCATTGATTTCATAAATGGACATGCCAAAATAGTATAGTGGTCAACTATTGTTGGAGAAGGGAGTATCATTTTCTTATGACTTTCATACCTTAATTATTCATTGTTCACTTTATCTACCTATATTATCACTCTCTTTTTATTTAATGTTGCAAATCTTGTAAAGAATATCTTATCACGAAACCTGTTGAGATATTGTCTTTAAGGATATTTTACTTGCCGTAGATATATCCTTCAGGACTTAACGAGCTCTTCTAATATAAAATTAGAAGAACAAAAACTAACAAAGATTATGTAACGAAGAAAACCCAACACAATATCATACCAGAGAAAGAGTTTGTGTTCATATATCTTAGAAAATGACGAAAAAGTCTCATTTTATATAATAATCAATTTGGTGTGCCTGTGTCTTACCTTTTTTTTCTCACTTTATCTCTACTTATGATTTAATATTCTACAATCCTTCATCTTAATTATATCTTTATGGTATCTCTACACCTTATTCTACTTTTCTCGTAGGTTTATCATCAAATTATTGATGCATGACATTATGTAACGACAGAAAACGATACAATCTATTCAAATCGTGTATTCATCAAAACAATACAATATGATATGTACAACACAACATAATACGACACATTAAAAACAATGTGGAACAACCATCCAAGCAAAGTATAATTAATGGTCAAAAATAAATTTAAATTAACACTTTTTTGTGAGTTTCATGCCTTAACTATTAATCTTTTTATCTACCTAAACTATCACTTTCTTTGCATTGGATGTTGCAAATCTTACGTAAAAAAAAATGTCACAAAATATGCAAAGAATTCTCATAGTTGAGATGTGTCAATAATATTGTTCTTAAATATATTTCATCCGATATAAGTGTATTCAACAAGTTCTTCTAATATAAAATTAGGAGCACAATAACTAAAAAAGATTCTTTTAAGGAAGAGAACTCCAACACAATATCATATGAGAGGAAGAGTTTGTGTTCATTTATCTTCTCTTCTTCCACCAAATGAAATGACTAAGAGGTCATATGATAGAGTGTATAAGTATAGTGTTGAATATGATGTATTAGTTATGCTGATATTACTTACTATATATGTAGTATATGGTTCCGTATATTAAAAATAACATGCATCGCATAATTTCTAAAAAAAGTTGCTTACAAAATTATCCTCCACAAATATGATGGTAATGATGTAAAAATGTTTTAAGATGTAATTGTGTAACCATGCTAATTGCATGCATTAAATCTTTGCATTGCTAATATCATAATTTCCCATGTATTTGTTATATATATATATAGTATCACAAAACCAAATAGAATGTATAACTAATACTTGCATTAGTTATACATAGAGTGAAATAATATATCAAACAAAGCTAATACATACATTAATTTTTTTCAATGCAATCTACCAAACGATCCCTAAGAATATATTTCAGAGTAGAACTCAAATAATAATGGAACAAAAGCTATAGAAAGTTTGTTATACACTTTTGTATTTAAGGAGTAACTAATGGCTAATAAAAGGGCTTTAAATAATTTTCCAACATTAAATACATGTCAATGTTAAATTGGTCAAATATTTATTTTTAATCCATAATAGGTGCACCGCACATGTTGAACACTTCGAAGTGAGATGTGTTTTAATACAATTGATAGTCCAAATATGTTTTTGACCATTAATATTATTGCATAATGCAATATTTGGCCATACAAAAAATTCTAGATAATTGTATTCATCTTATTACAAGAATAAATAATGTCTCTGTACTAAATTCCAATCATCACTCAATGCAACCATGTAGAAGAATCATCATTTTTACTAGCTACTTGCTATAACTTTCATATATCTTAATAACTATTCCTGATCTAATAAAATGAAAACTCAGGTTAATGGTGCCCTCAGATCAGCATAAACCAGCTTCCCCGTATCGTCGTAGCATCTCGTTACAATTTCCAAGCATATGCTCGAGAGCCCGAGAAATCATTGTCTTGTATCTTCGAAGAATGAGTTTGGTATTTCGAGAGGAGAAGACAATGTTGCCACACATTTGAACTGTTACAAGAAAATCATACAAATGTTCACATCAGATTACTGAACTATACAGGCATCTACAACAAAATCACCAATTATCAACAATGCACGAATTGATACCTTATGCAGCTTGTATTTGTCCCTCACAGCTGACAAATTACTTCTTCGTCTACTTAATTGTAAGTCGTGAATGATAAGAACACATTCCTTTAGATCCACTGGTCTATATCCCGAGCAACGTTGAAGGGCCAAACTCTACAAAATGGATAGAGTTAGTTATCAATGTTTCCATATATCAAGGTACTAAATATAAACAAACATTGGATCAAAATCCTCACCCAAGGATGTGACTTTGGTTGTAATGTGAACCTTGAAAGGAATATCACAGCAGCGGCTACCAAAGACGGCAAGAATTTCACACAGTTGTAATCCAATAAACTTAACTCTGCTAGGTAGTAACCGAGAAACTCTAACTGCAAATCAACGTTCTACGGAAAGCAGAATAGGTAGCATGAGCAAACAGTTATCGGAAACAAAGTTGACTTGAATATCATAATGTTTGTGTCATATTTGTACTTACTTCGTAACCTTCTTGGGCAATCCTAGTAAATCTTCCGAGAAATGTTTTGGTTGTGGGATTTCCCATTTCAAATTTGAGGGATTGTAGAACACTAGCCTCCATATTCACCACGTCTTTCTTTGTAAATGTGTTGTCTGTAATGTAAGCAAAGTCCTCAACATTTGGCGGCTTAATTTCCTCGTACTTCCTGATCATAATCAACAGATTATATTAGATTCACAACCAAAATTACACAATAAACACACTGCCAAAATAAAACCAGTTCTTGGCTACAATACTTACGCAGCAATAAGCATCGAAGAAACACCCAAAAGCTGAAGTCTTTGCCTAGGGATGACACTCACTGATAAGAATCTATCAATGTAGGAAACAGCAAGATACAACGTATCCGATAGAAGCTTGTATTCCTCTGCAACTTCCACCAACCAGTCCACCAAAATCCCTCTCATGTTTGCACTCACATCCTTCTGAACCTTCTCAAGGTAATCAGGCAATGGTCTTCTCTTTTTCTCAATCTGATTCGAAAAAACGCAGAGTTAATCAAAAACTCAAAAACCCAACTATCAAATCCAATCAAGATTTGATAAAAATCCAATCTTTATAGTGCCCATTTCCAAATTCATCCATAAGAAACCAAATCAAGCTCTATTAGATAACACCCAATTAATTAACTATACATAACAACAAATTAAGACATTCAGACAACACCCAAAATTTATGGAAAAGAGTAAATAAAAATGCACAAACCTCCATTTGATGAAGATAATCATATATATCAGAAGCATAAGCACTACACATCTGTGGGTCATCAGAGCTTTTCACCTTCCTCTTAGTAATCTGCTTACATTTGGGTCTCAGAGGCTCAGAAGCAAACACCTTGTCCTCAATCTGATTTATACCCACATTAAACAAATCTTGAATCTCACTCAACACAACTCTCTTCTTGTTGGGCTGTTGCAAGTGCTGAACCATTGCTTCTGCTGCCCTTTTCTTGGCCAATCTTGTAACTCTAACAAAATTTTCTTGATCTGCCATTGTTTGCTACTCCCTTTTCCTCTGTGTGTGTATGGTGTTGAGGGTTGAGAGGGAAGAGTGAGCTGAGAAAGAGAGATGGGTGTATGTATGTATATATATGGCGCCATATTCAGCAGAAAAATATTTCAGTTTGGGCGCGGCGCTATTTGGGTGGCATTGGTTTTTGAGTTTGACATTTGGGAAATGTTGTTTAAAGGGATTGTCTTGTTTGGGCAAATTTTTGGCTAATTGTTTTTTCAGATTGAATTTTTAAAAAGTGAGATTTGGATTTCCCTCCACATTTGCCCGGCTTTGGACCACATTTATTAAAAAAATGGTTGGGTTGGACTATTTTAATTCTTCCTATAATCATTAATATCATATATACTAATTTTGTTCAATACTTTTAAATAATTATAATTTATTACTCCTTCTGTCCCAATTTATGTGCCTTACTTTCCTTTTTAGTCAGTCCCAAAAAGAATGACACATTTCTATATTTAGTAACAATTTGACTATAAAATGTCTATTTTACCCTTAATGAAATGATTTACAGCCACACAAATTTCTATCATTCATTTTGGACCACAAGTTTTAAAAGTCTTCCTTTCTTTCTTAAACTCCGTGTCAAGTCAAAGTACCTCACATAAAATGGGACGGAGGGAGTACTAATTAAGAATTTTCTACTATATATGAAGGAAGATACGCATGTAAGTCACCTCCCTCCCATCTCGCTCATTATTCTCTTCTCTCTCGCTCGCATATCTGAAATGCATCACACCAAATGAATGTATCTCGCGTATCTAGTATCCTAAATACATGTTAATCACGCTAGATTTTTTGTTAGTGTTATTGAAACAACATTATTGTTTGTCATATTTGATTTGAAAATCTTCTCATTTTCTTGATGTTATAGAATTTAAAGTTTGAAAAAGAAAAAAAAATAAGGGCTAACCCGCGACCCTCTAGGGTTATGTTGGATTGAGCATTTTCAGGCCGACCCGCCCTAGTCCATCAAATTTTTTGGCCCGTGAGGCTTGGGTTGGGTAGGTCTGGGCTGACCCTTTTTGACAACTCTACCTATATACATGTATTTTTGCTATCAGATACGTTAAAATAGGGAGAGATGCAAGCGAGATGGAGAAGGAGGCGAGTGAGATTGCCATATATCTCAAATACATGTGAATCACATTATATACACACTAGATACATATATCTGGTATGATCCACATGTATTTGGATACTAGATACATAAGAGAGTGACAATCGAGATGTGAGAGTGCGAGAAGAGTGAGATTTGTCTATGTATTCAGATACATGTGAATACACTTGTATATAGTGTATCTAGACACAATTTTAACCTCATGTATCTCGAGATATATTTATCTAGACACAATTTTGACCTCATGTATCTCGAGATATATTTATCTAGACACACAAAAATCTAGTAAGATTCGTAATACTGCAAATTAGAGTGTATCTAAGTAATATGCATTAAACTTAGTGGGATTTCTCTAAATTTCCCCCCAAAAAATAGTATTTGACCAATGTTGATGTGACACATTTTAAGAAAACTTTCATAAACTCCTCTTGTAAGAAAAAATATTATTTGACTCGTATTGATCTAACATATATTGTAGGAAAATTTTAATTAAAAATGTATTTTAGTAAATTAAGTGGGCGTCTAGCTTGTTTTTATGTGAAATTTAAAGAAAAAAAATTATTTTGTTTTTAAAGTGAAAACAATGATATTTGAAAATTAAAGTTGTATTCGGCTATGAATATAAATAGAAGTTGTTTTATACTTTTTGTGAGTGCTTTAAAATTAAAATACATTTTTGTTGTTTTTCAAATTCTTGAAAATTCTGGATTTCAACTTCAAGTTTAATTCCGGAACTTTATGATCAAACGTGGTTTTAGAGTTCAAATGATATTTTGAAATTTTAAATTCGACTACTACTACTACTAGTTATTTAATACTAATGGTAGTATGGTAAAAAATAATAAAACTCTTTTGATTTGATTAAATGGATAAATAAAATAAATCATCTATAAAACAAATGTAAGTAAAATGAGACGGAGAGAGTATATCAATTAACAAAAATTATCGTTAATGTATACAAAAAGGAGTAAATTTCCTGAATTGTCACCATGTTTGAGAAATTGATTACTCTCAAAATATACTTAACTACTCCCTCAATCCAACAATAGTTATCCACTATAATATTTTGGGATATCCAACAATATTTGTCCACTTTATGAATACAATGAATAATTTTACACTTAGTTTCTAATTACCATTATCATTACTTATAATCATTTATCTATTACATTTTTTAAGACATCATATTTATTATATTCAAAGGTGATATATAGTAAAATAATCCTTCCATTAATAATTTCTTAAGAATTTTACAAAGTCAACACTCCCTCCGTCCCATTTTATGTGGCAACATTTGACCGGGCACGGAGTTTAAGAAATAAATGAAGACTTTGAAATGTTTACCAAATTAAACTTAAAAAAATAGTCATATTAAAAAGTAGACTCACTTTTCTCTCTCCTCATAAATGTATTAAAGTACTATCTTTAAGATTAAGTAAGACCAACAAGGGTAAAAGATGAATTGTACCTTTAAATACTTACAATATATGAAAATGTGACATTCATTTTGGGACTGACCAAAAAGGAAATTGTGTCACATAAAATGTGACGGAGGAACTAATAGACAAGTATTGTTACATGGGAGTAATAAAAATCTTCTTCTCTCATAATTAGATGTCATGTCACATTAAACCTCTTTTTATTTTCAATTATGCATTTATTAACCATCAAACATAATCAGATTTTAGACCGGTAAAAAATAATATTTTCTCCGTCCCATTTTATGTGGCGCTCTTTTCTTTTTAGTCGGTCCCAAAAAAAAATGTCACTTTATTATAATTAGAAATAATTTAACTTTAAAACACCCATTTTACCCCTAATGAAATAATTTTCAGCCACATAAATATTTAAGAATAGTTTTAGACTACAAGTTTCAAAAATCTTTCTTTTTTTCTTAAATACCGTGTCAAAGCAAACTGTGTCACATAAAATGAGACATAGGGAGTACAAGACACACAAAATCTTATACTACTTCATACATACCCATTTTATCTTAATAAGAAGATAGTTTCAAACCATACAAATATTTATAATTTATTTTAAATCATATATCTCAAAAGTTTTTCTTCATTTCATGCTCAGTCAAATAACCACCACATAATCAAAAGGGATGAAAGAATAATAGATAGGGATGGCAATGGGGCGGTGTGGGTTGAGCTTAACCCTCAAAATATTTAATCTGTCCTGTCCCGCATAACATTTTTTCATTTTCAACCCGCCTCACATAGACCCACTCTGCATGAACCCGCCCCGCATAACATTTTTTTTCATTTTCAAGCTGCCCCGCATAGACCCGCTCCGTATGAACCCACCCCACATATTTTTTTTAATATTTTCTTTTTCTAGTTAAGTTTGATACTAAAAATAAATTCATTTTTTCATTAAGTTGTATTAATTTAATAGGATAGTGACTTAAAATTTTATTTTTTAGAAGTCCATTGGAAACATATAAGAAATTGAATTATTTTTTATTGAACCATTTTCATTTACTATCTTGAATATATTTCAGTAGCTTTAAAGAAATTATCTTAATAAATAATGTTCTATCATACTTATAAGTTATAACATGTGAAAAAATAAAATTAAGTTTAAACCCACATAAAATCACATATAGCAACCTGTACCGACTCGCATTAGTTTTAAAAAAATCACACTTCAACCCGCCCCGCATCCCACCTGCCCGCACAACCTTAAACTATCCCTGCCCTACCCCACATAGCCTTAACCCATCCTACCCCGCCCCATTGTCATCCCTAATAATAGACACTATGATAATATGATTATCACTTTAAAAAAACAAACTTAACAATGTTTTATTTGATCAATTGAAGCTTTGAGGCCATTAGTACTATTACCATGTCTCGCAGCTGAATCAAAGTCTCATATCAGCTAAGCTAATTAGTCATTTAGAATTAAAATCTTCGTGTTGTTGGTACCGATATCATTAGATCGAGAATTATTTGCAAATGAAGAGATATCAAACAAATTCTTCTACACCTATATATGGTTTAATTCGTTCGAGTACTGTGAAATCCGGGGGCCAAAAGTTGGCTGATGATTTATGTAGTGCAGCTCTGGTGCAAGTTCTCTGTATATACTAATGTTGTTTAGGTATCATCTGTTGATGGCAAAGGTGCCAACATAATGTAGATAATTGTGATTCATAATTTATTGTTGAGTTTGACTTATGTGTATTGATAGTGTAAAGTTTACATTATCATTCCAAGATTACTTATAACAAAAGATAACTCTATAATGGAACATAGACAGTCCATTTATAGACAAATGTGTATGAAAAGAGAGAATTGTGTCACTCAATTGGAAACTTTCTGTCACAATCTCTTTAAACCTCCAATCTCTCAGCAGAACCACCATAGTATTGCTTCCCAGCAATCATCATCATCAAGATGTTCACTGTCATCTCAAAGAAAGTCACTTTCATATCGACCATGTTCGTGTTAGGATCTCCTCCACCAGTTGGAGCTGAGCGCGAACCTCATCTGTACGGATATGAACAACACATTTGAACTCTCAGAGTGGACAAGATTTCAAGAGTAGAAATCCGTCTTAGGTAGTGCCAATGTTGGCCATATGAAGCCCAAGAAAGAGTTGTATAATTGAAACCAAGATAATGTTTTCCAGCAAGCAACGTCGTTTTTGGTGAAACATTCCTCTTCAAGAGAAGGGGAAGAGCGAGCAGGACAGGACGCGATCCAAATCGGAGGTAAAGCAAAGGACCATGTTTTTCTGAGATGTTGGCTAATGTTTTATGAAGTGGTTTTTTCTTGAGTAGATATAGATGGTCTATTATGGGCAAAGAGATAAAGGGACTTGGTGGGAGATTTTTGAATTTTCTAAGGAAATGATTCTTTAGCAAGTAAAGGAAAGTGAAGATGAGTATGTAGTATGAAATTTCCATGGTTGGTGCAGATACTTCATACAGTAACTCTAAATAACAGAATCCTGAAATTTGTATACCTTCTTGAATGGGAATTTAGGCCTACTTAGGTAGGAATTGAATTT